AGCAGTCACCCCTGTGCAGAACCGGGGGGAGTGTTGTGGCATGTGATTCTCCTCAGGAGTGCTGTTTTATAAGGAACTGATTGTGCCACCATCTTCCCTTCCGAACGCGCGACCTGCCCTCCACCGCTGCCGAGTCAATCCTTCTGGAGCGACAATTGTGGTCTCCCCCAACGAAGGCGGACGATTTGCTGACGATGCTCCAGCCGCGGCCAGCCGGACGAAGAGCACAGAAGGCGACCGCGGCGGAGGCGAGCGAAAATCCGCGGGGGAGAAACAATGGCAGGGGCAGTGGTCCAATGCGCTGGGGTTTATGGCTGGAAAAGTAGGCGCATTGAGGTTCATTTTGAGTTTGATATTGTTTGAGATTTGGCGTTTTTTTCGTTTGATTTAAGCTTGGGTTTGGTTTTTCAGATCGGATTGAAGTGTGGATGCGAGGATCAGAAGTACTGTTTTGATTTTCGGCACCTCTCGTATTGTTTTTCGGCTTGACTCCGACCCCTTCACAAAGCAGGGGGGCGGATCCTCGGAGCAGGGGGGCACGTTATATTCTTTCAAACGAAATGGCGTTGCTGACATTTCTTCACCGAACATTCATGATATATTTTGAGTATTTCAGGGAGATATTNACGATATAATATGTATCGGAGATCGGCGCAGCCGATATAACGATATTTTTTCGATATATCGGGGCCGATATATCGAAAAAATATCGGCGAGCGAAGCGAGCCGTGGTTAGCCACGCTGGAGGCGCCCCGCCGGAGGCGTTTTTTTACGCGATTTGGCTTCACTAGAGCATATTTTTTGGGTGATTTTGGGGCACTTCGACCATGCCATTTTTTGGTGGGTGATATCCTGAAAACTACTGAAAAACGCTAAAACTTGGAAACCATCGACAATAAATGACAGATGATTAGTCAGTTCTCTTTTGAAGCTTTGGTTGGGTGGCACAACACGACCACGTTTGAACGTCTTCACGAAGCTGCTTCCAAAACACGTTCCCACCTCCCTCGTCCTCCCTCTCTCTCTGAATCTTGTCATGTTTCTACAACACAGCCTAAGTTCTTCTCAACCCAAGCCCAAAGCCCACCACCCGCCCGGCCAGCAACAATTTCAGACGCAGATATCCGGTCGCAGCCCGCTCGTTTTTCTTCGAACGCTCTGCTGTCTCTGTGTCTGAAACTGGTTCTACTGCAACCACCGGCGTGGAGGACCCTCCATCCTGGTCCGCTGCTGGTGGGGTACTCATGGGGTGTTCGGCTAGTGTTCGGTGTTCGGTCTGCTCTTCTGTGGTCCAAAGCAACAGCCGCCGCAACAGCGAGGCCTCATAGGGGGTCCAAACGTGTAACTGTTGTAACATATGCCCCCTTTTTGATTCACGGAGCCCCCTCAAATATATCGCCGAACATGTCGGGGCTGACAATAGATATTCGATACGATATATATCGTCCGATTATATCAAACATATCGGCTCCGATACACAACCCTA